CAAACCAGCTTAAGAACAGGAAGATTCTTAAGAAAAAGTGTTTGATAACCATGCCAGCCAGCTTCGAGATGCTATCTGGGGGCTTTAGACTTTCAGACTCCCTCAAGATTTCACCATGATGAAGACAGTCACTGCTTGTGATGAGTACCAAGCACTTTTCCATGTAGCTCATCCTCCCTGCAGGGAGGCAGTATGGCATTTCGACAAGAGACTGTACAGGAACTTGAAAGGATTTATTCTCAACTAAACTGACCTGCTGGGTTGCTCTGGAGAAGTTACTTCTCTCCAAGCCTTAGTGTACTCATTGCTGAAGGAGGGTAATGTAGTTCAGATCTTCTTTATAAAGTGCTTGGGCCATTCTAGGAAGAATTTGGGCATTATTTCAGGAGATTTTGGTGCCAAAACACAAAATTTCAACTCTGAGATCTACTAATAACTTGTACACTACGTGCTAGAATAAAAATCACCATCTATACAATTCTCAAGCACAATCTCCTTTTCCATGTGCTAAATTATTCCTGCCTAAAACTCTTGTGCTAAAATCCTTGCCTACGTCCAACAGCTGTAGTGTGTTGTGAATATCTGAAGTGACAGGCCACTTCTGAAGTTTTGTGCCACACTACTGGCAGAAGCAACTGTACATGGGACAGGGAGCTGTGGCAATGTTGGACTTCTGTGAACTACAAATACCTGCATCTACATTTTCCATGACAGGGCACGTGCCATGCTGGCTTCAGTGGCAAGACAATGCATGCCACCATTCACCACAAAAGGCATTTACTCACTTGTGTTCCTGGTGCTGAACTCCCGTCCTACACCAGTGGAATCCCAGCGATGCAATATCCTGCTCCCTGGTTGATGGCAGTGCAAGAAGAGAACATATCCCAAAACCTGGCTTATCTCCTGCTCTGCTCCTGTTTTGATTGGCTCTATGCTCCTTAAAGCTGTTTCACTCCATCCGTGTTCCTTACCACAAGCCTGAATGAGCTCAGATTGCATTTGGTTTGGTTCTTTGCCTTTCAAGCACTTCCATTGCCCTGGCTGGCTCCTGGTGCAGCCAGCAGGAAGGAGCAGCAGCCGTCAGCCCCCCCAGGGGTAGTGCAAATACACCTGCAAGGAACACCTGCACGGAGTGGAAGCACCCGCGTTCCCCGGCCACAGGGAAGTACTTTAGCAGCTGAACATGGAGAGAGAGGAGGGAGGCAAGACAAAGGGAACTGAGAGAAACGCTCCCCAGACAAAAACCCCACTACACACCGGAGCTACACGTCACACTCCCCTACACCATTTGGTCAAACAAACCTTAAAACACACTCCCTGACAAGACTATCTCTAAGAACAAGCCTAGACCATTGACAAGTGTCACCTACATACTTGGTGATTATTTATATTATGTAAACAAGGTTGTGTGGAATTCTTTTTGCAATTTTTGCCAAAGATAAGTGCAGATTCTTACTTAACGCACCCAGCCTAAATCTACATCAGCATCCTCAGCTTTCAAAAGACCTCACTGACGCTCATACCTGACAGTACTCTGGCTCATCCTGGCCATACTGGAAAGAGAGGGCTAAAGAAACAAAAATTCATCAGAAAAGTTCCTGACCACAGACTAGAGTTCACATAGAACACAAAAATAAATTAAGTAGTGCACAGTAAAGCCAACAACAGCTAAATATTTTTATACATCAATTATATGCAGCATGAGGTAATATTGCTCACATTATGGAGGGAGATTCTTAGTTGGTTTTGTTTCTTTTGAAGAGATTGGATTTGTCCTGTGCGTATAGAAACTCCTGTAACGTAACACTGAAGTAACAGAGACTTCTGTAAAATATATACCACTATCAGATAGAAACACACACGCTCTTCATTACTTATGCATACCACAATTAAATAGGTAAGAGATTTGATTCTTAGGATCTAGCTGAAGATGATTATAGCAGGCCATCCAGATTTTTATGAACCGTTCGGTTCTCCTTCCCATCGTTGTTATCCTCTGATGGCGTGTATTGGACCTGATATTCTTGAAGGATTTTAAAAACATCATGGTGTCCAAAATGTAAAGCTTCATCCATAGGAGTGTTATTCCACCTACAAAAAGCAGCACAGTATTTTTAAGATCAGCACTTTAAGCACAGAGCCAAAAAGCACCACAAATCAAGTTCTTTATGTACTAACGGTTCAGCACACAGACCTCACTCAGTTCAGCAACTATGGAACTTCATTGAGCTGAGCACAACCTTTGAAATAATGGGTTTAGTGGTTCATTTTTCAATCCTGCTCAGTCTGCAGAACCTACAGAGAACCAGTAGGATCCCATTCCCCCGCTTCAGTGGCCGGGATCAATACATTCCACTCGTACTTGACAGGCACCTCTCCTCATGGGGACTAGGGAAGCATTACTGAAGCATCTTTCCTCCAAACCAGCAGTAAAAACACTCACCTGTCTTTGGGGAAAGGATTCACTTTGCACGCTTCCAGCAGAAACTTAACAACATCCACATGTCCTACAGGAAAAGCAGCTTTGTGAGTGCATGCACATATATCCATTTATGTAAAGATAGAAGCAGGTATGCACAGAGACAGCAAGGATGTGCTAAAGCACACAGACAGACAGACAGCAAATGCTGTGTGAGGAGACAGTACCTTCTGCAGCTGCCACATGCAGGGCTGTCCGTGAGTCGTAGTCTCTCTGCTCCATATCCATTCCTGACAGAGCAAACCTTAAAAACAAGACAAAATAAAATACAATTAAAGAGACTGCAGAGGCAAGTCTTAGGCAATTTAAAGCACATGACAAAAGTAGCATGGAAGGACACCACCCTGCCACAAGAGGATGCTGGCAGCACCACGAACACATCATGTCTTTGCTCATAATGAAAGGGGCTTCAGCTTTGAAAACCAGCTTAGTGCCTTAACTTCCTTTCTGTTCTTTAGCTGTCATAAATAAAAATAAAACTTCTTTGTAGAAAATATAACAGTCAACACACCTGATTTAAAACTGTACATGGACAAGCTAAACCAGATAAGGCAAAGTAAATTTATACCAGGTGAGAAAATCCCAAGCAGCATTAAGGGATTGGGAGAGTTCTTGCTTCACACTATGGTGCCCTAGGATAGCAGAGTTAAACTATACATATTTATACTATATATATTTCCCCACCCACTAATTATATTTACATATATTCTAGCCAAATTGATGTTTATTTAGTCTACTACCATTATTACTTTAAATTATGCCAGATTCTCCTCCAGATTTAAAAAGCAAAGCTAGATGTCCTAACCTGTCCAATAAAAATGTACATTTTCCAACCTGAATTTTTGTGGCATTTTCAGAACTAAGTATCAAAGCAGGTGAGAGTACAGACAGGATTTTTCTGCCATTGCTATAAAAAAATGGTTAAAGAAATGGAACACAGTGGGATTCAGGATTTGATGGTTAAATTTGAGTGTTTTGGGTGAACATCTTCAATCTCTAGCTCAGACAGGTCAATGTCCCAACCCAGACACAGTGCATTATTTATTTAGGAACATGAGCATGTCCCTAAATAAACAACAACAGCAGGAACCAAACAAGCATTCCCATTCTCAAACCCCCACTGATTTTTACCTCCGGAGTGCAGACACATCCCCTGTGTAGGCAGCAAACAGCAGATTTATCACAGACTTCACCTACAAAGAGAGATTAAGTTCCAGTTTACTGACCTCCTTCCACCAAAAAGAAAACCCAGTGGGGCCAGTTGGTCCAGTGCTTATGAACTGGTGAATTGTATCCCCTTGCCTGACCACATTCTGCAGTACAGCTTGCTTTGCTACCCGTACTGCAAGGTCTGTCTTTCCATGGCTGAAGTTGTTAAGGACAGTAAAAGAACTAAAAGCAATTAATTTCTGCTCTGTTGTGGCAAAAAATATGACCCTTGCTCTATGGGCAAACCATGTTTCTCTCTTCAGCTGCCCAATGACACCCAAGTATTGAATTGCACAGACACCATCGCTCTGCACAATTTATAAAACTCAAATGGCAAACTCACTCTGGAAAAGTACTCCTCAAATAACAAACTCACTCTGGAAAAGTAAGATTATTTTTAATAATACCTATAAAGATTCCTAATGCCAGGAGAAATCTGTCAGCAGACATCTATTTAAATGTTACCCTTTTTTCTATGTATTACAGATAATCCTTGCATACATACAACACTTTTGCATACACAAACTTTTGCTCAAATAAACCATTTTAAGCAGTTCTGTTACATAATAAGCAAAGTTCCCAGACAGATAAAGTTGGATTTTTTTAGATAAATACGGGCTTAAAGCATGAGACAGGTAAAATCTCTTGTAAGTAGTGCTTTTTCTCAGCTTTATTAATTATTCTATTAAGAAATTATACTGTCAGGGTATACCGACCTTGTCCCATGCATATTTTTAACACATCCTGACTATAACAACTCTGCAGGTTTTAACAAGCGCCAAAAATGACACGCTAGATGGTTTTAAGTATCCATATCAGCTTCTTTCATGAACCGACACAGCCACTTCTAAGCACCATTTCACAGTAATTTTCCAGTAAACTTTCTAAATGCTGCTTTGCTTTTTGAGCCTACAAAGCTCTGTCGCTGCCACCAGCCAAGTAACAGAGATAAAAGAGGGAGCTGGTGATGCACTGACCTTCTACAACAAGGAGGAGAAACAAACAAAATGAGAAATCCCCACCCACAAGCAAGTCTCCCACGGATTTCTGCAGGAACACTGGCACATTTTCACAGGGCCACAGATGAGCCAACATCTGCTCCTCGTCCAAACCAAAGCTGTGCAACTGCTCCTTGTTTTTCACACCTCAAATATGCACTGAGGCAAAGAGAGCGAAGGAGAAGGAGGCACCAAGGCCAGGATAGAAACACAAGGGGGACACAGACACCCCCAAACCCTGCAGCTCCTCTGGAGCTGTGAGATGCAGGTCTGCAGGACTCCCTCCTGGGAGGGAGAACCCGCCGGGGCCGCAGGCAGACCAGGCTGGCGGCGCTCCCCCGTTTCAGGTCCTGCAGGTGATGAATACTCTCTCTTTTCAGGGTCTGAGATGAGCAAAGGACACACTGTCTTACACAAAACCCACTTCAGAGGTAACTGACCATTTTGGCTGGCCGTCTTGATGTTTCTGGGAAATGCAAATATATATTAAAGTAATAAAATAAAAATAGCGCACATTCTTGTCTTCAAAAAACAACTTTCCAAGTGCAGTCAGAACCCAGAATCCTGGATTCAGCTCAATGTTTTGCTAAAAAGTGATTTTTGTTTTCTATAAAGATGTAACAAAATGTAATCTGGAGATTTCTGAAGCTTCGTAACACAATCACCTTAGATTACATCTCTCAGCAATCTGGGAGAGATCAAAGCTGCTTCTTCCTTAAGATAAAGTAAAATCAAAGGTTACTTTACTTTAAAACTGAACTTCTTGAGAAATCAAAACAAAAACAAATTCAAGTCCAGACAAAAAGATCTCTGCTTGTTTACCTCAGAAGGAAATTTGTTCTGTGTCCAATATTAAAAGTCATGGGATACAAAAAGCAGGAGAAACACAACAAATTCAGTGGGAAAATTATTAGCAGAGTAATTATCAAAACCTGGTCAAAGGTGAACTCAAACTAAAATAAGCCAAGTGTGGCCATCATAGCTGAAAAAAATCCTTTTGGGACAACTTCTTCCTGCTTCTAGAGAGACTTCAATGATTTTATGGGAGAATTAGGCTGGATTTGCTACCAACCAAACACACCTTGACCCCACAGCTGCACCCTTCTGTAGCAGCAGCATAGACCCGGAGGCCAAAAAACTACCAAACTTCATAAGGTATGAAATGAAACTGCTTGGAAGGCAGCCATAAAAAACAAAAGTTTTATTGAGTTCATGTAAAAAATGAATTCAATAAAATTTAGGAATCTGCAAACACAAAATACACTTTGAATTCAAAGTAAGAATGTACCACCTCCGCAAGCCTCTTATGGGTCTTCCTTAGCTTGAAGAGAATATTAATCTCAGCAGCATATATACTAAAGCATTATGTAAGAGGCTGTCATTTACAGTGAGAAAAGCTTACTAAGTGAACAGCACTTACTGCCATAAGCTTTGTATCTGTGCAGAATCTCACTTAGGCTGCCACAAGGTCAAGTACAAATTCAAAACTCAGTACTACTTTGAAATAACAGGTTTCATTGCAAAAAAAAATTAAAAAAAATAAAAAAAAAAAATCAGAAGGCAAAAGAAACTCTGAAGTGGCAGCAGCAAACATACGATTGTGAGATTTTTAAGTGTAGGAGAGAAAAAAAATAGTGAATATGACAGATGAGCTCTAGCCATTCAAACTAAGTAGGGCACAAGACAACTAATTTAAGTGTTTAGAGACTGTGCCAGTGAGTTTCTCACCAAGTGGTTCATGAACATACCGTGTTGGTGTTTCAGTAACTGCACTGGTGAACGCAAACTTCCCTAATGTTTAGAAACACAAAGTTTGTTTTTCACAACCTTTTGCTACTGCACGCACTTCCCTAACTATGAAAACACAATAAAAGGGGAAGGGATTGGATTCCCTTTGCTTTATAAAAGCTGGATGGATCTCACTGCCATACAGCTGCATGGCAGGATCAAACCCAGAGCAGAAACTGTTGCACATTTGTCAAACGACAGAAAACCTGCATGCACTGAAGCAGAGGGACTTGGCAGCTCTCTCCTCACCACACCAACAACACAGAGCACTGCTCACTCAGCTACATGAGACCCTCTCTGTACAGCACTCTTCCCTGAACACTGGGTATAATCCTTATTATCCAGGCAGGGAAACCAGCAAGGAAATGTTACTCATGTCACTCAATGGTAGAAATCAGAAACACAGTTTCACCATCAGGTTAGCAGGTGTTAGAGGTCTTGGACGCAGCTGGACAAAGCTATGAAGGATCCAAGTCCTGCTTCACATCAAAGGTGGCCAAATGACCGATGTCTCCAGAGGTACCTCTCCAATTAATGGTTCTGTGAGACTGTGGGTCAGGATGTGAGCAGCTCAAGAAAGAAAAATCAAGACTGTGGTTGCTCAAGAATTGCACTGAGGTCAAGTTAAAGCAAGGAAACAGCTGGAGTTGAGAGCAGCAGGAAGTCACAGTGCTACAGCAGATACTTCAGATAAACACGGGGGACGAAAAGGCAAAAAGTAAAAGAGCAAAAACACCATTCCAAAACCCCAAACGGACAAACTGAGTGAGCCACACAGCCAGTTACAAAGTGAAAATCAGTTTCCAAGTGACTCCTAGTCCAAAGCTTCCTATGGCAGTTATTTTGAACATCTCCTGAGCCTGGTTGTGGTGAAAGTGTCAGAGAATCCTCCTTGAAGCAGCAGTGCTGACGTGAGCGGATGCACAGGGACAGAGGCACTGCAGTGGGGGAGCACATGGCCCAGCACACAGAGAGTGCATGGCTGTGCCCCCTTTCTCTGCAAGCACAAAGGACTTGGGCATGACATGAGAGCTTTAGGGCTGGTTTTCAATTTCTCAGTGCACCAACTGGAAAAACTAAATTTAAAAAAAAAAAAGTTTAACTTCAGTATTAATATGATGAAGTTACTTACTGCAAGTGAAATGTCAACATCATCTAACTGATCTGAAAGGCTTGGCTGGAATGTGGGAATTGCCTTGGTGGAGTATTTGTAACAAAACAGTCTTTCCTAACTGAGCTGCATACCCAAATCCAGACTTGTTTAAATAATCTCACGATGGCTAACAGCAAATGCCCACACAGGACTGAGATAGAATCACTCCTCTCTTAACAGAGACCAGTTTTTAGAGGATTTTTTTTACCTGAAGGGTATCTACCACTGCCTAGCTCTAATGCCATCCACAGAACACCTCTCCAAACACTTCAGAGACAGCACACTGACATAGTTAATGTCACCAAGATGGGAAACTGAAGCCTAGAGATGGAAATGAACTGCTATGGTCTCGTGGTGAAGGGAGAGTGGCCTGACACCTTCTGCCCACTGCCTTCACCATTAATGCAGAAGAACCAAACCTCAAGGAGGAGCCGAGCACAAGCAGCTGAGCACACCAGCACTGTGCTCTGTCCTTGCCCACGTGTCCCTGTCACCACAGGGCTCTGTCCTGCTCTGCTCGCTGCAAAGCCTCCAGCAGGGCAGGGAGAGCCTCTGCCCTGCCCTGCACTTGGGTCAGGAGACAAGCCAAACAGCTGTGCATGTACAGAAAGCAAATCCTTCAGAAAAAATTAATTTAGCTCAAAGCTGGATTAATTCCATGAGAAGCTCTTAGCTAAAAAGGTCAGTGAATCTGGATTTTAATTTCCTACCGTGTCCTGCTTCCTGAGAATGCTCCGCCCTCTATAATTTCTTTGAAAACATTACAGAATTAACATTCTGAAAAAAAAAGTATCACTTCCAACTTTATGTTTCTCCAGGTGGCTGAGCAATATAGTCAAGCTCTATAGTTTATAATAGTGCTGCTCAAGGCAAGCCAAACAAAGATAAATAAACAACTCCCCTAAACTTTCCAATGCTCTTTCCACAATATTTAGGAATAACGCCACAAGTTAGCCTTCTGAAGAGCCTACTCAAAATGTTGAGATATTTTCTCAATATTCTGAAATATTGAGAAAAAAAGGTTTGAATGGATATTGTTGCTAAG